GGTCAGGACAGATTGAAGGCTGGAAATTATGAACTATATACTGAATGTCATAAACATATTTGTTTATATTAATTCATTATATTTTTGAACATTCAATGGGTATATTCATAAGGGCAGATAGACAGAAAAATTGGCCTATTGCATATTTTAATTCTATATGCATCAGCTAATACCATGGTTTAGTCTGCATGAAAGTTGGTGAAAATTTCAAACTGAAATTATAAGTATAGAAGCTTATTCTACAAATTATGCAAGTTCTGTTCCAACTTCAGGATTCGAATTAGTTGAGAAAAAATGATGTGCAACTTTTTCTTTTAAATGTGGCTCTAGATTTTTATAAAATAGGTTCATGATTGTCTTAGCTACTCATTCAAACATTACTCAATCAAACTGCAATAATTTAATTATTTGAATACTTTTTAAACATTATCATTGTTTGAAATCTTTGATATACAAACCTGACACATACAGTAACACACACATCAGTCATGTGTTTGTCTGTCATATGATGGCTAAAATTTGACACCTTCCATGCAGCTAGTGTGCATGCAAAAGCACTTGTTTATAAATTATAAGACAATGTTCAGATTGGCTTTGTTTTTAAATCTATAAATATGGATGGATGTTCATTAACAGTCCCAAATCTGATTTTTTGCACATCGTTTGGAAAAGTGATCTCACTATTTGGTACAGAACAATGTGCAAATTGCACATTGCGCACTGTTAATCCGAACCCTGTGTCCAACGCTGCCCTCATGCTCTGCAGCCTGGCATGGTATGCATTGTCAGAAAATGCAAATCAGTACTAGGTATCTTGACTTTCATAGCAATACTGAATAGACAATGGACCAAAAACTTGTAACATGTATTGAAGAGTCAGTACACAGCTATTTTGAAGACCTCCAGTTGGAGAGAGGTTTTGTAAAGAAGGGAAGAAATTTCATTGTTTTGAACACATAAGCAATGAAAATCACTGTTCTGAAAAGGTATCTATAATGTCAATGTGGTCTTCAAAGATAATTCCAGTGACCAGGTTTTTGAAGAGATTTAACTTCTGTTTGATTTTGTTCATGTTACCTTTTAGAGTTGAAAGTCCTAAAGCCTAAAAGTAAAAAAAACACGAGAGGTAAGAACCTATTTCTCTATTTCAAATTATAACTGATGTTTTTGTCCACATTCCCTTCAAGTTTTACATGTAGAGATTTTTGTTAGCATAACAATTAACATATGAATGTGCTTCATTTAATTTCTGGGACTGTGGCTAGATTTGTACAGTATTGTATGGTTATAATTTCGCTTACAGTGTGGTGACATACATAATGAATGTTACCAGATTCACTCCATGATGACTGAACACCATGGCCAGGTTTTTCCCCAGTACTTCAAACACTCATTAATCCTATTGGTAGATAAGCCTATTGGCAAATCTTGTCAACCATAATATGTCACGTGCAGTGGCTTTAATTTAAACCTGATAAAACACTCCTCATTAGTATTCTTTATATAAAGAATACTAGTAAGGCAGTATCTATTGTAGTCGTGTCCTCATTAGTATTCTTTATATAAAGAATACTAAGAAGCCAGTATATCTATTGAATTTGTAGTCGTGTTTGAAGCCGTTTAATAAACTCGCATGGTCGTGTTTTATTAGGTCTATAAAGCCACTCCCGCTGCGCGCTCGTGGCTTTAAACCTAATAAAACACTCCTGCTCGTTTATTAAACAGTACTTTACCCTGAATATGTAGATCACAATGACCTGAACAATTTAAACAAAATGAGAGGAGATGAAACCGGGGGACCTGGGGGATAAAACCCTCCTCCTCCCAACTTTGAGAAAGTAGAAAAAAGAGCGGGCTTAATTCGCCCCTCCAAAGATAAGGTTTATTATATATTAAATATTCATAATTCCCCATTGTGTGACTTGAAATAGTTGTTGTAGGAGGTTAAATTGGGGTTTCTGCATATCAAAACTTCCTCAGGATGCAGGAAATGCCATTTCAGAGAGTCTATATTTTACATTTCCGGGGGTGCGTGCCCAATCTTACGCCGACTATGAGCATGCAGGCTCTACGTGGTGCGGTAATGAACACTCTCAAAGTGTACCATTGACATTGTTAGTAAAGCATTCTATCTATAAATATATTTGTCATATAAATAGAACAACCGTTGGCGTTTTGCACGAAACGTTCTTTGACGTTAATTTATAATTATCATTTTTTATAATCATTTAATTAATATATTTACATGAATTTACGTCATTTAATATGATTTATGTACTTTTGATCGTCAGAAAGAATCAAAGATCTCCTTGTTCATTTCGTGCAATGTAAAACTCTCTTGTGCCAGACTAAAGTCAATCTTTGAAAGTCTAAGGCTTTTCCAGGGTTCGAGATTTCTACACGCGATGTTAGTCTACCCATGATAGCCGCATATTTCCTTTTATTATATAGTCGAGAGTGAGATACTGAACTGATACACAGTGAGATATTTTCCATATCTTCACTAGTGAAGATATCGATCACGTGTCTTTTTCCAATTTGCTTTCGAGTGTGAAATTACACGGTGGCTTGAAGATATGATTTTTATCTTCTTGTGTTAAAAACAATATTTTACTCACTCGCTGCGCTCGTTCGTAAAATATTGTTTTCGCCACTTGAAGATAAAAGTCATATCTTCGCGCCGCCATGTAATATCCTCTATATACTAACTGCGCATGCATTTGATCATATACTATATAAATATTTAATATTTATATTGCGCAAATTAACATGTCATGTTAATTTGCGCAATATAAATATTAAATATTATTATTATTATTATCTTACTTTACGTATATACATGCATGGGTACACGGATTCAGCGAGGGAAAGTTCTCGAAATAAAAATATTGAAAGTCTAAGGCTCTTCCGGGCTTCATAATTTCCACGCGGACGTCAGCGACCTCCTGGCCCTGGTCTATTCCCATGGTAGCCGGATATTTCCTTATATTAATTGCATCTTACTTTATCCCTAATGACGACGACGACGGCTGCCGAAGGACTAAGGAATTGTTTTTTTCTTAATACAAATAAAATACAAATGTTTTGAATTTTTTAAATAAATAATAAAACAATTATTGAATTCAGTTTTCGCACAATATGAAGAATTACCAAGCCCTCGGTTTGCCGTTATCAACCTCAGCCTTCGGCTTCGGTTGATAACGGCAAACTTCGGGCTTGATAATTCTTCATATCGTGCTCAACCTCATTCAATAATTGTTAAATATCGAGTGAGGTGCCCAAAATCCGGATATTTGAAATGAAAGCCTTTTCAATGACCAATTTTTTCTCATTCAAGCTAGAAGGTTCCAATATTTTTGTTTGGAGAACTTAGTATCCTTGAGGATTTGAATATTTCGAGAACTTGCTCTCGCTGAATTCGTGTGCCTATGCATGTATGTATACACCTTAAGCAAACAGGACGGCAACGCGACGAGGACGGCTATTCACACAATGATATTCCTGATCTCGTACAAAATAAATGAATAATTAAAAGCCCCACGGGAGTTAGAGATGTTGTGTTAGGGCTTTTTACAACGGCAAACCAGAGATGTTCACGTCTCGTGTACAACGCAAACATTTCAAGACGCGACAAGTGAAACTGGCCACAAATTTGCTCAGCAGAAGCGTTTTTAACCATAAAGCCTTTGTTTTAATCTCTTCAAACTCAACTCAATTCATATATACATGCAGTGGACAAAACATAACAACACTTCTTCGCAATAATTTATTTGAAGAATTTTGTTTTGGTTGTCGTCGTTGCGTTACCGTCGTGCATGCTTAAGGTCCCTATTATCAATGGCGTCAGCGAGTCAATAATTATGATTCTTGTCGTCATAGTAATATGGCGCAAGCGCGTCCAAATTTTTTTCATATTGACGTCGTTTTGCTAATATGAATGCGAAAAATCCATATTTGGTTAGCCATTAGAGTTGATATGACAATTTCACAGTTGGCTGTTAGCCAATCAGAAACCAGAAATTTTTGAAGTAAATAATAAAATTAATCATATTGAAGGTTTGGAGATGGAATTTTTGAGTAGAATTTTTATACATTTATTAAGGAATCAAACCTGCTTAAAGTGTTAAAGAGAAAGTGAGTGTATAAAGGCTTGCAATTTTTCCTGCGATTTTTAGTGCAATTTTCTTTTTCTGATGGATTTGAACGAGTAAATAGGTTACGAATGCTGCGAGTGTATGTATAGGAAGAGGGTATTTCGCTGGCTCATGCAGAGTGACAAAACGTAACAAAGCAACGGTTTTACTAACACTAATTAACCCTATTCTAACCCTAACCTAACCCTACTCCAAGTTTGTTTCTAAATCAATCTTGAAAAAAGTTTTGACGAAATGTTATTCTAAGGTCAGCGAAATAACTTCTTCCCTCGTCTAAACATTCCTAACTCGTTCACATACATCAGAACTGAGAAAGTCGCACCTATTTCGAAGGGTTTCTGCTAATTACCTATATATTGGTTGAAAACTTTGTTGGAAAAAAGAGACCTTGATCAATATAATCATTGGTAAAAAATACTATGTATGGAAATAATTGAAGGATTAGACAGCCGGACTCCCATATTAAGTCCATCCATTTAACACTATGTCAGTCAGTATGAAAAAAATACACCAATGTTACGACCGACTCAGTCTTCTTACAACATAACCTCGTATCCTGTGGCTAATGACGAGACCATTTCTGATATTGTGAAATTATGTCAAGTGTTTAATATTCACTGATCTTTGTTAGTCAATGTTAATCAGGAAACACTCGGAAAGTAAAATCACTGTAGTTTTCATGCAACTCATATTTGAGAGTTAATGGCCGGATAATTTCATTAGACATTAACTCGGACAAAATTTTGCATACGAATTGTGAATTCAAGCTACAAAGATAGTATAGAAACACGTTGACATTGTTGCTGCATGGAAAAAACTCTGTTGTAAAGAATGTTGGTCTTCACGGTCATCACGAAGTAGCACGTGCATAATGAATTATTAAAGAAGTGTTTTGAATTAATCGTGCTATATTCTGAAAATTCATGAATCCGATAATTTTTTACAGAATCAAGTTTGGATCAAATGTGCATTGTCATGAGGCATGATGTACCCTCGCTCTCATGCCTGACAGAGTACGCTTCTCCGATTCCCTAGTTTCATATTTAAAACACAAGGTACACGTGAACACCTACCACAAGGCTTTTTGATGAAAACAGAGTCTTTATATTGTTATAATTATAAATCTATTAGTCGCTAACTAATATTTAATGTTGTCAAATTAACACACTTCGTACATTAATTGGCAATAATTGCTACATAGATCAACCCAAATATGCGATACTAGCTTCTAGTTCTCAATAACAATATATCTATTAAAATACTAAGAAATGCAACGTTTTCATGTGCAATCATGCATATTTTTTAATTCTCGGTATATAGCTCGGCTTACAGCCTCATGCAGGAATATATTTTTTTTCACACGGTGGACAGATAATTTAATACGTTAGTTTTCACTTTGTTAATTTATAAACCTTTGTATTCAATCAGTCTCTACTTGCTCATGCAAATTAACAAGTGTTTAAAAAGCCCAAGAATTCCGTTTTCTGTTGAGTATATCAAGAACTATGTGTTTTTTCATGACCTAGCTATGATAGACTTGTTTTAAAAATTCAGCTATAGCTTGCCCAATCTCAACCGGGGAGTCCTCTTGTATATAATGTAATCCTTTCACTTTCACAGTTCTGGTGTTGGGCCATGACTTGGCTGTCTCTGAAATAGCTTTACTAAATACCCCTGGGTCTGCTTCGATAAACAACTTCGGGATTCCCTCGCTTTGTTTCATAAAACGACCATAATCTTGGACTATTTTCAGTACATCATACGGTCCTTCGCTTTCGAAGGGAATTTCCTTTGGCCAAGTGAGCATGGGTCTTCTGCTCTCGCCTTTTTCAAGAAACGGTTTTCTGTATGCTTCCATTTCAACTCTGTGTAATTTCCTTAAAGTGTTTGCAGGGATCAGTCTTTCGATAAAGAAATTTCTCTTCAATACCATTTTCTCGCCAGGTTTCGTACGCAAACTTTGGAAAATAATTTTCGGCATGATTGGCCATTGCTTCCAGGAAGTTGCTGGCATCACAACGCTTTCGGTGTGAATTAGTGCTTTGACTCTATCTGCATGCATGTGACACCAGTGAAATGCCAAGCCTGAACCCCAATCATGACAGACAATAGTGATCTTACTTGGAAGTTTCATCGCATCAATCCAAGCTTCAATGTATTTATAATGATCTAGGAATCTGTAGGAACATTCTGGTAGCCTGCCAGACGCTCCCATGCCTATCAAGTCCGGGGCAAGGCAACGGTATTCTCCTTCAATATGAGGTATAATGTTCCTCCAGATGTAGGAATATGTTGGGTTGCCATGCAAGAATATCACTACTTCGCTAGTCTCATCTTGTGGTGCTGAATCATAGTAGCTCATCGTTGAGTCTAGGACTTGAATCTGACTGCATTTTGCAAACCATTCCTCTGCTGATAAGGGACTGCTTTCCCCTCGTGCATGGCTTACAACATGTCTTAGAGAAGTATGACACTGAACGGTCAGTGATAATACAGAACCCATGTTCGTCTCATGCGAAGTTCTATGGAAATGCGCTGAGCAGAACTTCACTCCTTATAAATACGCGCGTCAGACGGAAGTGCTGATTGGTGGAGATAAAGTGAGGTCGACACCGTCACATTAGGGCAAGGTCGCTCGAGGACACTCGCTATTGTTTGCTAATGAAGTAACTTTCTGAAGTTCATTCTCGTATGTATCGCTTCACCGGTTTAGTATAGACTTTGTACTTCGCAAATGTAAACAAGTGATCGCATGCATGTGTCAAGTCCGTGGTTCGAAAGAATTACTGTTGGTATATTATCAAATGTGTTATAACAGAATGAACCATGGGCCACCATGCATCGTCTTGTTTTAACACAAGAAGAACCATGCACTTTCGTTTTGTGACCAACATGGTTTGGAATTGTTCATTGTTTGTGCATGAACAACATCAAATTTAATAATATAAGTGATCATAATACAAAATGCAGTCATTTTCCACAGTAAGATAAAACATCGGGCAAGCATGGTATACCGTTTGGATCACGAAGCGTTTTTAATTAAGACACTGTATCAGATTGCAGTCTAACTCATAATTCATTAAAATTGGAATTGTGTGATTTTGTTATATTTTCCAATAATAGGTCTTACTCAGAGAGAGTATTGGCATGCAATCCAGTGAAATCCGATTTGGAGTGAGTTGAGTAGAGTCGTTTGTGGCAGTTGTTTTCTGATAGGGCACTGTGAGGTCTGCTGCTGTAGTTAATCTAAACCTTTGATCTGCAAGTAAGCAAGTTTTTTTTCACTCTTGAGGAAATTCACGAGAGGTTCTGAAGTACCTCGACAAAGAGATTTCTCTTTTTGGAAATATTAACTGTGGATAAATAAAAACTGACTGTTGGCCTTTTGAACTTGTTGTTATGCAAGTGATGAAAGACTTACATACTTGGCAGTTTTGCATTTCGTTGCTATAGCCTTCCTTGACCTTAATTGCCTTTACTTCCTTATTCCTACTTGTAAAATAAGTGTCGTCCGGAAACCACCCGGGCTCAGTTGTGGAAGCTAGCAAGTAGGAAACGAAATTGATCTACAAACTTGGTCTGAACGTAGGTTATCCTAACCTTTTAGCTGAGCCTCATTGCGCCAAAAGCCGATGAATGAAATGTAGACATTCACAAGAGTTTAAGCTACATTCTATATGTATACATTTTCTTCGATATAGCTACACGACTGCAATATATATTGAAAAAAAACTAATACCATTTCCTCACTCTGATAAATGCATGAAGGTTGACCACTATCTGTTGCACTTGACAGAATAGACAAGCCTAAACTCATTTTCACGAGAGTGTATCAATATGAAACCACCCACGACTGCATATAATAATTCATTTAAATCTTCGAAAATCTATCGGAATTTTGGATTCACTTTGGCAATGGCCAATGCTTTGCCGCCCCGTTAATTATCTTCATACTGAAAGATTCGAATGAACTGAGAGTTTTGAACAAGCTATTTTGGTTAAATCAATTTCTGTTATGATGTAGCATTAATAAAGAAGACAATGCATCATCTTGAATATATGTGGTTCCATGTAGGTGGCAATGAATCAATGAACAATGCACTTGAGAGACTAAACAAGATGAAACCGTATTAAATCCCTCCACAGTTATTATATAGTGTGCGTGCAAACATTGAACTTGCCTAGCAGTCTTGGAATGAAATTGTATGCTTGGAAAATAAGTGTTCCGCAATTAACCATTCCAGGGGCTGAAATGTGTCCGGTTTTATAGACGTCACAAATATGTGCTATACGTCAACGATGTAGGAACGTTTGCGAACGTCTCTTTGTTCGAATTCGTAGGAGCCTTTATATAACTATACAAATTATAATAAGTATTTCTATATTTATGTTTGCAAGGTCTCTGTATTAAAAGACGTTGTTTATCTGTTCCAAGGCTTGCATGCGAAAGCACTCATTGCGTGGACTCTTTCAATGAAAATTTGCTAATTAATTGACGTGCGAAATCGTGCGTGTATTCAGAAACATTGCAAGGTACAAGAGCACTTGTTTGGAACACTGGCACGAACATGATGGGATGAAAGATCTACAACGGGCAGCATATTTAGTGATCTAGGGTATAAATTATAACATATTTATCTTTCTCAGATAGTTGCATCCATATCATTGTGGATATCACCATATCATGCATAATGAAGATATAGTTATACGGATTATTATACATAATCTATATGGTCAAATATTACGTCTGGTATGATAGACAATATTGGAAATAAACCTGTTCCATATTACATATATTTTACTAAACGTTTGCCATTCCCATATAATATTGAATAATTTTTGTATCTTTTATGGAAACTTATATGAAACTGATTCTATACTGATAAAATAGCTGATAAGTTGGTAACTGCTTCAGTTCTTGAAATAAAGTAGGAAACGTTAATTAATAAACTCCGAATGGAAGTTCCATCTTGAAACTTAACTTTAAGTAGCTAGAGGAGTAAAGCTGAAGAGGACACAATGTTGAACAGTAATATTTCGAATTTATTGCAAATTCAACATTCGCAATAAGTTCGAAATATGACTACCATTTGATAGTTTTAAGGTTGATCCTATACTATGTCATCAACCTTAAAACTATGAATTAGGTGTGGTTCACTTCCTAGTTCCTGCATTTGCAACTTGTAGACGACATTCGAAGATACTCAGTATATGCAGTATATATGTGTTGATTTAATAGCAAACTATTGCCGTATTGGCATTGATAATAGAGACCTTACGATTTTAGGACGGCAACGCGACGGCAACGGCTACCACTGAATACACAGATTTTCACGTCTTGATACAACAGCTGCATTCCAAGCTACAACAAGTGCAACTTCAAACTGGGTTTAGCAGAACTCTTCCCAACCATAAAACCCATGTCTTCAACTTCTAAAACTGTATTAAATTCATACGATTGATAATATACGACGAACTATCTTTACTACCATTTATTTGAAGGAGTTTGTTTTGGCCGTCGCCGTCCTAAAATCGTAAAGACTCTATTAATTGCACCTCGGTTGAGAATATATAAGTTGATGTCTTTTAAAGTACTGCGCATGGCAGATTCTTGTCCACGTGGACAGAACATGACATGAAAAGCATGGCAAACTGTTTTCACTTACTGGCAAACGTACAGCAGGGCAGAGTACAAAGGCAGTAAATTTACCTATTTTCCATACATTTATAGCAATTAAGTTAGACAATGTCGTATGATAATGCGCACACAGGGGGCGACATACACGCTATTATAAACATGCAGAGAATAGCAAATGTATATATAGACGGTTGCGAAAATGCAGCTTAAAATGGTATCTTGCCAAAAATGTGTTTTGGGGCGATTTGTTTTCACCATGCTTCATGCCGACACAACTTCAACTTGTCAACAACTCAGTCTAGGACTGGGACCATTCTAACTGTAACATCAGTTAATTATTGCATATGGCTATGGCCTATGCAGCAAGGGTTTCTTTTTATATCAGTCGAATAGAATCGCATTTCTATATTCCGTTCTCCAAAAATAGATTCAGGTTCGTCCATGTATAGTTAGGACGTCGTTAGGTTTTAAAATGTGACTAGGAAATGACATCTAAAAGAATGTTTGATCAACATTCAGACAAGGAGATATGATTAAAATATTATATTTCGTACAATGCCAACATTACAATTCTAATTTTTCCAAGCACTAATTTTTCCACAGCAATACTAGTATAGCAATTTATGCTACCAGAAAAGTCACGAAAACGTGTCATAACAGCGAGCGGGGAAAAGCAAAGTTGATTGTTATTTACTGTAACTCCTGGTGTGAATTTATTTTCACATACTTGCGGTGTTAATTGTGATCTTTTAACCCCGATAAAACATGCCCTTGAATGCCCCTTGCATTATTCAGATTGTTGATTGTATTGTGAAATGTTCCGTCATGTTTACGCGTTCAGACATTTTCAATTCAAATCTTCCATGTTTTGCTTTCCTCTGCACGTTGTCGTTGCTCTCCGATATACGAAATAACAATAATATAATTGCTCATATTAATAGGAAAGGAAATAGTAGCATTGTGAACAATAATTTGGTTAAGTCCGATTAGAAACGGTGTTTCAGCGCACGTTCTCAACTATCCAATGAACTGTGGATAACTCAGTTCAAAACGCGTGGGCATTAATTAATTGTGATAGTTCATTAGCTTTTTTTTTTCATTATTTGAATGCGGAATGGATTTTTTTTGTAAGATATATTTGGTCAAGGAATACAAACAACATGTTCCTGTTTCAACATGTATTAGTTCAGGAATCCGAAACGGCCCTTACATACCCCAAATGTTTAATGTTTTACAAGGGCACAAAAACTTGCCCTGAAGCCCAATGTCATTCGAGGTCGACGTTTACTTGGAACGTATCAATTGGACTGGTCATGTTTATTTGTTTAAGAGGTTATTAAAACAATACTTAGTTGGTATAATCTGAATGTTTTTGTTTCTACTTGCAAAGTTCTTGCCGTTGTTATAGTTTGCTTTTCTCTTGAATGCACTGACAGTGACACCGTATTGCGTGTGTTACGAAACTCCGTGCGCAAAAATTGCTTTTGATGAAAGAACAAGGCATCCGAATCATGCAACACTCTTTCAAACTAATTGTTACTAAGCATCATTTTATGGCATAGTACAAAACATGGACTGGACCCATGGACTGGACCCAAAATTGGACTCAAAATTGGACTCAAAATTTTAGCCAAAATTTTGCCCAAAAATCCATTATTTTTTCGGAGAGAAACAACCCTCAGAATATCGTACTTAATTGATTTAATTTGTATAGGCAAAAAACTTCACGTTCCATCACTTTTCCTTGACCTATCTAGCTATTTGTCTTCCAAAATTCTATATTCTATTTTCTAAACGTTATCTAGGGTATCTCGTAAATAATAAACCTTTGTGAAATATCTTTGCGCAATGGTCACAAATACATCACATCGATATAAATCATGCCATCAATATATACATCAATATATAGTTATTTTAATTATATACATTTTGTGTCTGTATAATACACCCTCTATATATCCCGGCATATATATCCTCTAACGAGTAACGAGTTCGCAAAGTTTGTTTTGTCCATATATTCTAATATTTATCGCAACTAGCTATATGTGGGCTTATCATTATGCATTATTCTATTTTATTATCATAAAATAGAATATAGAATTTTGGAAGACAAATAGCTAGATAGGTCAAGGAAAAGTGATGGAACGTGAAGTTTTTTGCCTATACAAATTATTAAATAAAAAATTTTGGCTAAAATTTTGAGTCCAATTTTGGGTCCAATTTTGAGTCCAATTTTGGGTCCAATTTTGGGTCCAGTCCATGTTTTGTACTATGCCTCATTTTATGACTTTTAATTACTGTTGGATTGCGTCAAGCAACTGATGGTTGCCTTTTACAATTTTCCGTCTTCGATCTTAAAGTTTAAATTAAACTAGATAGCTTTCAGAATTCAGTATAAAGTGTCTTATATGATACCTAATTCAGTTGTGTGCAGTGATAACCAATTTGTGCAGTGATACAAAGTCAGAGTTTTCAGTGATGAACAATAAAAACGTGAAGACTGAAGTGATATTATTTGTTCTGATTATTGTAGAATCCACTAGAACTTTCGAAATTAATGACAATGTACATGATCGATGTCATGACTTATTTAAATGTCCTATACTCCTATCGAGCTCAAAGGGCTCCAAAATTGACAAACTATTGGAATTCACCCTAATCTATTTTAGTAGGTATGGTTCTATTTTTAGTGGAGGTTATATATATATTGGGACATTCGGTAAGATATTCCTGTGGGCTACCAAACCTTAACCCCTGGACTGGCAGACCTGTTGTGATGCAAATCTCATAAAATTATGTATGGTTTTATACGTTGTTTCAAACGTTGGTCAAGTTCGTTTTGTTACTTTTGTATTTACAAAATGGGCAAATAAATATGCATGGTGTACAACATATATCTCGCCACTTCCGCTCAGTGGTTACACACTGTTACAAACCTCGGCTTCCCGCCTGCATGCAGGCTAAATTCTTATGTTGTTGTGGAAACAGTATACAGTATGTATAATTTATTATAAAAGTTTGTAAAGTTATGAAGTCTAAAATTCTTGTTGTTTTTGTCCTGTTCCTTGCAGTTGAAGTCATATTTCACAGGCAACATGTAAGTTAATTCGAGAGTCATTTGCAAAAATATTAAACTTTATACTATGTCTTGATTTTGCTCTATATTTGGTTGTATACTTTATGATTTATCTTCAAAGGGAACATGTTTTGCGTCTGAATTTGGTGTGAATGGACCTCATCGAACGAAGCGTTCAACTAACTCCTTCAGTATGTATTATGTATTTATCAATGTTTAACAGTTTAAGCAGCAATATGACATATTGTCATATTTCTAATGTAAAGTTAATACATATATAATGACCATTTAAATTGACAAATCCTCAGGAATACCACAGCCAACAGCAGAGTTTCCACTCGTTCTATATGCTGGTGATAATTACAACAATGGGACTGAGGGAATTATTCATAGATCTCGACCTGGAGAGTATCGTGTTTGGGCGCGGACAATACAAGACGGTATCCAGGAGTTTCTATTCCGTTCATTACTAGTGTTGCCAGGTTGGAAACTAACGTTTCAAGCATGTTGTCCATCCGGTAACAGTTGGACATCATCTGTGTCCAATGTCAGTAACATTTCCAGCCTGCACTATTTCATGTTTGATCATTTGAGAATTGGTGAAGGAATTTTTTATACTCAATGGCTACACTGGATTCAAGAGTTCTCTGTTAAGGTGATAAAAAATAGTCGCTAATTTTGGTTAACCCTTTTAAGTGGTAACATGCCCTGATCTGCCCTTCTTTATTATTTTACTTTCACTGTCTAATGCCGACATTTTTACTCATCGAAGAGAGAGTGCTGCCTCTCAATGGTTTAACATATGTTGAGCACTGATGTAAAGGTGTAATATTATATGGGTTAGTGAGATATTAACCCTTTAATACGTGGCAATGCACCTAGCTGATGCGCCCTAGTTTGTTATTTTACTCTGTCTAACGCCAGACTATTTTACTCTGTCTATAACACCAGACCGGTACGATTTTACTCGTCAAGTGGAGATCGAGACATCGAGTGCTAGCTGCCACTCAATGGGTTAATTTTCTCACATTGCACCACAGCTGTCACTATGGTTAGCTTTGAGTCAGCTAGTTGGTTATAATTTGCTGCTAAGTCGGTTGGTTGGTGGCTGGCCAACCAGTTTGTCACATTGGTCTGTCAGCCTGAGCCAGATAGTCGGTCTGTCCATCTGTCTGTCATTCGATAGTCCTCTTTATCCATCCATCCATCGTCAGCCTGAGCCAGATAGTCTGTCCAATCTGTCAGTCATTAGATGGTCAGTAGTTGATCAGTCAGTTCTGCCTACAGTTAGCCCATTGAGGGCATAGACAGATTTTCAGGTTTAATGCTCAGGGGGAGGTGCCAAAAATTAAGAAGGGAGGTGAGCAAGAGTGTGTGTAGCACCGTCAATCAAGCTGCAGCAGAGGTTTGGGGGGCACAGTTGTTAGTAGGGACTGAGGGCTGGTGGTAAGGAGGCCCAGAAAAAATTATTTTTGTCTTATTTATAATCCTTATTTTGATCATACCACTGTCATTTAATCCAATGAGCATTTAAATGTCTGGGAGAGTGGGAGGGGTTGCAAATTTTTCTAGATGGAGTGGGAAAACTTTCTGAGGTGTGCCAGTGTCCCTTGATGAGTAAAATCATTGACAAGTAAAATCGTCTGACAAAGTGAAATAATAATTAAAGTGTGGCACATTAGGATGCAATGCGACCTAATGACTTTAAGTTAATATGGGACAATTTCAACCATTCTAAAATAAATGCTTAAATCATGTTTTAAGGTTGATCATTGTGAAGATTTTACATCTTGTACCAAGAACATAACAACATGTTCCCAGACATGTTACTTTGGTTCTTGTGGTTTAGATGGGACATGCCAGTGCAAAGATGGATACTCAGGGGATCAATGTGAGAAACGTAGGTCTCAATAATTCTTGGAATTATATTATTATATAATATAAAGAAAATATAATTATAGTCATCTTGCATGCTAACATTTTCAATGTTTATCATGGCCCATGGTTTACTCTGCTGATATTTTTCATCCTGTTTCTAATCTCATTTTGTATCCCTCAGGAGTATATTATGTGAGGAACGTGTAACATGATCTTAATGAAACATATAGACTTGTAGTATAGTCATTCATTGTACGAAACTACGAATTACAATTTTGAGGAAATTTCACAGAACCTTTTGATTTTAATTTTTAAATTAGTAAAGTGGTGACACTTTGTGTCATTTTGTTGCAAATTTTGTGAATATTTTAAACAATTTCCAGCCATATTTCATACCGTACACATCCTTTCAGTACAAAAATACAACAGGGAACACATTAGAAAAAGAAATCTTAGTTTAATTTGTTCAGTTTGCAAAACAAATGAAATTAACAAGTGTGCAACAACTGTAAGACAGAAGGGCATATGTTACAGAATTTTTAAAACTTGCTTCTTATTTCATGTGAATTTTACTGCGCAAAACCTGAGAAATATACTTCGCAATTGCGAAGTGCGAGCCACTTTAATTTGTACTCTGTCATTTGAATATAGTTTTAACTTAATTTAACATCATATTCGTTCTATACAGGTCCATCAAATGCAGAGATCTACCCAAGCCTTGCTTATCCTTTACTGCTCTTTCCTCAAGCATCATTTCAAGGTGATCCTGTCAAAGTTTCACCTGATGTCTACCAAGAGTTTGCCAAGAACACAGAAAATATAAGAAAATTCACATATTTATCTGCAAGAATTCTATTTACGAGAACCGTGAGTTTTTCTCGTAACAAGGAGAATGATCAAGTCTATGAAGTCTCTCCCGGATCTGATATCCCGAACCTGCAGTCATTTTTTGCATCAAATATGGATTTTGGAACACCCTTGTGGTTTAATTATGCTACGACGATCGATTCTGTATTTTATATTAAGGTGGCTGGTAATAGTCAGTGCACAAGCTGTAGTGACGTAGGAGGTAGTTGTTATGCAGGGCAGTGTGTGTGTTTGCCAGGATATAATGGGACATTTTGTGAACAAAAGATATGAAGATGGGAATTATGGGTGCTGCTGCAGGATTGAGGGGAGAAATTGACTTAGATATATTTTATTTAAGCTTTATTTTGACACATGAATTATAATACACTTACGCCTGTATTCTAAAAGCTCACTCACGCTCAAAGAGTGGAAGTCTGGTCTGAGCTTTCCTCGAGTGTCAATGCCGCTTTTGAGTAGCTGGAGGGTTAGTGTCGTAGCTTACTATGCGACTACAGTCACCCTCCAGCTATTCTAAAACAGCACTGACACTCAAGCGAAGCTCAAATTGAACCTCCACTCTTGAGTGTGAGCGTGAGTGAGCTTTTAGAATACAGGGCCGCTCCTGTGATAGACTTTGCGTTTGAGAGACATATATAGACAACATCAAACAACCAAAAGAGGCGAAGAATATCGAGACCAGGTCCCATGCAGGGTGCTCACCACTAAATATTACAGAACAGACAAAATTACAAAATATATGAAATAGAAAAAGAGAAACGGAAGGTTACAGTAGATGAAAAGAGAGAGAGGTAGAAAGGGTTACATGGAGGAATGGAAGATGTCAGGTGGTCGTGCAGATCAAAGAGTGCGAGCTAGGTTCGATAAGTCTTGTGTAGATAACTTGTATATAATATAAGAAGCATAATATAATACATAATAATGTAATATAAGAAGAATTCGCAAGTATTTAAGCAGAGAATCAACAGAGAAACTTGTTCATGCCTTCGTTACCAGTCACCTAGACTATTGCAATGGACTGCCCAACAATGCTATTGCCAAATTACAACGTGTTCAGAATGCTGCCGCAAGGATTCTCTACCGTGCACCACGGTTTAGCCATATTACTCCGCTAGCTGTTGTATGAGTTACACTGGTTGTCAGTCAATTCAAATATCGAATTGAATATAAGATAATTACAGTTACGTTTAAGGCAATTCTTGGAACTGCCCCTAATTATATAACTGAACTTATAACTTTTAAAACAAACTCTTCTTATAGCCTAGGATCAAATAACAAACTTCTTTTATGTCCGCCAAATTTTAAGACATTGTCTACTCTTGGTGACAGCCTTTATGGCTGCTGCACCAAAACTATGGAATATATTATTGCCATTGAATCTTAGGAGTATCTCTGATTTGAATATTTTTAAGCAAGATCTTAAGACATATCTTTTTAAAGAGGCTTTCTATTAGCTCAGTTTTTAGATTAAATTTGTAGTATTAGTTCTACGTATTTTAATTGTCCTATCCATTGTTGTAACGCGCATTTGAAAACTGCATTGTTGAATTTGCGCGATATAAATTAATAAATGTTATGTTATGTTATGTTATGTTATCAGTTATGTTATGTTATGTTATTTTATATAACTTGCCTGTGCTTGTAAAACTCATGTAAGTAGAGATTGGTTGGTTCCAGCTTTGAGAGTTTTTTCCAGGTCTTCCGGTTTTCCTTCCTTATTTAATAACAACTAACCTTTAGGCCCCGTGTTTGTTAGGAGGTACTTTTCCCCTTCTTATTCAACCGTATAGTGCCACTCTGGAACAATCTACCAGCTAATCTAAGACAATCAACTTCCTTATCAACATTCAACACGAAAGTTTTTTTCGACAGCGTAAAACTTGGGAATAGCTTTGACACTGAAAGAATAAGAACATGGAAAACTGTGTGTGTGTGTGCCCTGCCGTGCAGGGCCATTAATTAGGTAGATTAATGGTTCCTAGGCTAATTATCCCTTTCACGGCTGGGACACTGTATGGGGTCGACATGGCAGATTTGAGGGGAGGACTGCCTAATTACTTTACGGATGAGTTAATCTGTTCAACCTTGTTCTGTTTAATGCTGGATGTGAACCTCGCCGCGTGTGTGTGTGTGGGGGGGGGGGGGGGGGG